GGGCCGCCACCGGGGAAGCAGCGCGGGGTCCTTTTTTTTCTTTCATTTTTGGACAGCAAACTTTTTCACGGAGATGCCTAGCAGGGTGGGGGGCGACCCTCGGAGAAGGCTGGGGAGCCCCTGATCCGCTGCCTCAGTGGCCCCGACCCGGGAGGCCCCAGGAAAAGTACAGCCGGACATCTTGGTCCCCGGACCCTCCCCTGGCTCCGAACGGCGCCGAGGCCTGAGAGGTAGGACTGGGGCTAGGCGGGGCCTGCCAGGCCCCCATGGATGGGGGGGGGGACCCTGCGGCCCTCGAGGCGGCCAGGCCAGCGGGGCTCACCCAGGCCTTGGAGTTCTGTGCTCTTGGGACAATTCTGACCTAAGGGAGTTTGAATTCCAGGCAAGCGGTGCCCAAACTTTTTGGGTCTCAGCTGCCACTTCCGGTCTTGTGCGTGCCCTCTGGGCCCTGCTGTCCCCTCCGTCCTAGTGTCTGTCATCTCTGCTGCTTGTCTCTTTGTCTCTGGGTCTCTGGTGGTTTCCCCTTCCTCCCCATTCTGCTCCCCTGAGAGGAAGCCCCGGAGGTGGCCTCTGCACTCTCTCTCTCTCTCACCCTCACCCCCTCTCACCCTCTCTCTCTCTTTTTCTAGTTTGCAAACTCAGCTCTGGATTTCGGCAGCGACAGCAGCAGGAAAAACCTGCCCCGGCCCCCACCCCCTCCGGCTACCTCCCCTTCCCTGTTCCCTCCTGTCACCAGCCCGGAGTCACCCCCAACTCCCACAAGGCTTCTCCTGCCATGTCGGACCCAGACGCTGCCAGGGGCCCTGATGTCCCCGTCATGTGGCTCCCCTGTTCCAGGGGTGCCTGAACCCCATCCACAAACCCAGCCCCTCCCCCACCCCACCCCAACCCAGTCCTGCGGCCCCAGGGACCATGAGTGGGGGCAAGAAGAAGAGTAGTTTCCAGATCACCAGCGTCACGACCGACTATGAGGGCCCGGGGAGCCCCGTGGCTTCAGACCCCCCTACCGGATCTGGGCCCCGCCTCCCCAATGGGGAGCCTAACCCAGATTCTGGGGGCCGAGGCACCCCCCGCAATGGGTCCCCACCACCTGGGGCTCCTGCCTCTCGGTTCCGGGTGGTGAAGCTGCCTCATGGCCTAGGAGAGCCTTATCGCCGAGGCCGGTGGACTTGTGTGGATGTGTATGAGAGAGACCTAGAGCCCCCCACCTTTGGGCGGCTCCTGGAAGGAATTAGAGGGGCCTCTGTGGGCACTGGGGGCAGATCTTTAGATTCCAGGTTGGAACTGGCCAGCTTGGGCTTGGTCACCCCAATCCCACAACCAGGCCTGACTCAAGGCCCCACCTCCTGGCTCCGTCCACCTCCCACCTCCCCTGGACCTCAAGCCCGCTCCTTCACTGGGGGACTGGGCCAGCTGGCTGTGCCTGCCAACAAAGCCAAAGCAGAGACATCCCTCCTATCTGCCTCCCCACCCCAGCAGCGCCCCCCAGAGTCTGGCATTGGTGATAGCTTGGGCATATCCCTGGCAGCCACGCCCCTGCCCTCCTTGAGGGTGGATGTAGAGGCTGGGGGCTCAGCAGTGGGGACCCCTCCACTGCCCCGGAGGAAGGATGGACCCATGCGGCTGAGAATGGAATTGCTTGCTCCGGAGGAGACAGGACAGGTAAGAGTTGGGATTTCAGGTTGATGGAATTGGGGGCATGGGGAGAATCCTGGTGGGTGTACTTGGCCTTTTCAGACCTGGTCTAAGATCTAAGCCTTCCTGGGCCTTCTTGTCTTGGTCTCCATCCTGTCTTCCCTGCCTCCATTGTCACTTACCAGCCAGTAGATCACATAGTCCTCACTTTCCCTACCTGGTTTTTTGTTTTGTTTTGTTTTTTGGGTCCGGTCGTGGGGCCTGGGCGCTGTCCCTCAGCTCTTCAGCTCAAGGCTAGTGCTCTACCATTTGAGCCACAGCGCCACTTCTGGCTTTTTTCTTTTTGCTTATGTGGTGCTGAGGAATCGAACCCAAGGACTCAGGCATGCAAGGCAAGAACTCTTAACACTGAGCCACCTTCCCAGCCCCTTGTTTTTTGTTTTCTTTGGGGTCTGTCATGTGTTCCTGAGCTCTTTCTACTCAAGGCTAGTGCTCTACCACTTTGAGTCACGGTGCCACTTCCAGTTTTCTGGTGCTTAATTGGAGATAAGAGACTCATGGACTTTCCTGCCTGGGCTAGCTTTGATCCTCAGATCTCAGCCTCCTGAAGAGCTAGGATTACAAGCATGAGCCACCGGTGCCTGGCTTCTCTCCCTGTTCTTTTGCACTATGATTGGTTTAGCTGTCTGGCCTCCTCTTGCCTTCATTCTGTATTTTGTGCACATGCTTGCATGCATGCCTGCTCACACTGGGTCTTGAACCCAAGGGCCATGGTACTGTCCTTTAGCTTTTTCACTCAAGGCTGGCACTCTACCACTTGAGCCACATCTTCACTTCTAGCATTTTACTGGTTAATTGGAAGTAGGAGTCTCATGGAAATCCGTGCTTGGGCTGGCTTTGAACCATGGTCCTCAGGTCTCACCCTCATGAGTAGCTGCCAGCTACACCTTTCTTCTTTTTTTTTTTTTTTTGGGTCCTGTCGTGGGGCCTGAACTCTGGGTCTGGGCGCTATCCCTCAGCTCTTGGCTAACGTTCTACCACTTGAGCCACAGTGCCACTTCCGGCTTCTTTCTTTTTGCTTATGTGGTGCTGAGGAATCGAACCCAGGGCCTCATGCATGCAAGGCAAGCGCTCTACCACTGAGCCACCTTCCCAGCCCTACACCTTTCTTCTTCTTTGGCCTGTTGTTGCTCTTGGCCTTCACTCTTTCCATGATGCCTGTAATATATAAGGCCTGCTCACCTCAACTTTCACCTTCGGCCTCCATCTCTGCCTTAGCCCCTCAGGCTGAAGGTACTGAGGGTGAAAGCCCCAGTTGGGTGGCTGGCTGGGCCCCCTGGGGGAGGAGTTGCCAGTGTTTGGGGTGGCCATAAAAGGTAGGCATTCCACGGCAAGTCTCTGCCTTCCAGCCCTGTCCTGGTCTTTTTGTTTGGGGGGGGGTCTTCATTTTCCCATCAGCCACCATCCAGCTCCAGTTTGGTTATAAGCAGGTTTCTGCGAGGAAGTGAGAAATTGTGTGTGTGTTGGGGGGGCACATATTACAAGTCCTGGGGGTATGAGGTATCCTGACTGGTTCTGCTTTTAACTCCCCCTCCCCCCATTCTCTTCAGGATTGCTAGCTAGGGGTGAGCTCACTTCAGTGAAGGAGAAAACTGGGAAGCAGAAGGGAAGGGGTTAAATTCTCTGCTTCCTGTCTCCAAAAGAGGAACAAGTCTGGGCTGGGGGCAGGATGCCTGGGTCCCTGGAGTGGGATGGGGTGGGATGGAGGGTGGGGGATGGACAGCCAAGGATATGAGAGTTGGATACTTATGCCCTGAAAGAGAAAATAACACCTTGGCTGCTCAAGGAAGGCCGGCAGTGTGAGGATGAAGGCTCTTCCCCCTTCCTGGCCATGGGCATAAACCGCAGTATAAAAATATCTTGAGCCTGGATGTCTGGACCCTGTCAGGACTGGTCAGGACCGGCTCTCCCACCGGCTCCTGGCTCCCAGTTCTCTTCTCATGCCCTCAGCCCCCACTCCCCACTCTTCGGGAACTTTTTTCATGGAGTCTCTAACCTAAAAGCAAGAAGCCGTGGTTTCCTAGGGCCTGTCCTCAGACCCTTCCAGAGCAAGCCGCCTCTGCTAACAACATCTCTGATTAGCCTTAAGCTGCCTGCGAGCTGGGAAGACCCTGGCCCTCTCTCAGCAGTGGCCTGACCCCGCCCCCTTCTTTCCTTAGAGCCTGTGCTCAGGTCTGTCTGCACTGTCGCTATTTCTCTTGGCCTAAAAGTTTTTGATTGTCTCATTTCCTCTGGGCCAGGGGAGATCCGATGGTGAGCTGGGACCACCACCTGGGGCCCCCTTCCCTTGCTCTGTTCCTCTAAGCCACCCTGGACTCTCTGTTCTTGGCTTTTCCGAGAAACAGGGGCCTCCCGGGGCCTCACAGAGGCGTCTTGTCTTGTTCCTGTCGCCCCCGCCCTTTTGCAAGCGCCCCCGCCTGTTGGGCTGTGTAGGTCCACGCCCAAGCTCCACCTCCTCCCTCCCTCCCTGCTCCACAACACCCCCAAAGCCTGGAGGGTGGAGAGCTGTTGTAGAAATTTTCACCTGAAACCCAGACAAGTTTAAGAAGAGACTTAAAATGAGAGGGGGAAATCGTGGCATGGAGGACCAGTTTCTGAAGATTCATTCATTCTACAAATAGCCACGAACAAACTTTACCGTCTAGCAGGGGAGACACAATAAATACTTTTAATTTCAGATAATATTAGGTGCTGTAAAAGAAAAAAAAAAAAACAGGTCAGTGGTAGCGACCAAGTGGTAGGGATTTGCCTTCGTAAGGAGGTGACATTTAAATGGCCTTAAACAGGCACAGATAAACTTTTAAATAATCTTTTAATTTAGGATCCCTGGCTGAGGACAAGGAGGGCTACCAGAATGTAAACTGAAGCCTTTCTCTGAAACCGCAATACTCAGGATGACACCCCTAGTATCTGCTGAATGCTTTTAGTAGGGCTGAAGACAGGACTTAGAGGCAGGACTTCGTATGTCCCTTGGAAGAAGGTGGGGGGTAGAGAAGACTGCTTAGGCAAGTTGTAAGATGGCTGTATTCTCTCTCTTCTTTTTCTCCCCCCACCCCCTTCTACCTTTTGGTGTGTTTCGTGTCCCCCCCCCATATGCGTGTGTGTGTGTATATATATATATATATATATATATATATATATATATGATAATTCTTCATCCTCTCCTCCAGGTACACCCACTTGACTCTCGACCCAGCTCCCCGGCTCTCTACTTCGATGCCAGCCTGGTTCACAAATCTCCCGATCCTTTTGGCGCAGCTGCAGCCCAGAGCCTCAGCCTGGCCCGCTCCATGCTGGCTATCAGTGGTCACCTGGACAGCGATGATGATAGGTAGGTGGGTGGGTTGAGTCAATGTGGTCAGCACCTGGGATAGGCTTGATATTGCCTGGCAGGTGTGCTCCTCACCCCCCAGGTGAACTTGGAGAGGACCTCTGAAATTTAAGAGACCTGGCTGGCACATAACCACTGGGCCACGTTGACTTGGGACCTACTCCCTCTCTGTGGGAAGAGCTGGGTGGGACTGCCCTGGCTTAGGCTGTCAAGTCAGAGGCTTTTTTAGAATGTGAAGGGACTCATTGTCAGATTCCCAGAGCTCGTGTAGATTGAGAGGTCACTTAAGCCAACTCTAGGAACCCATTGGGTATGTATGTTACAACAGAGAATCAATTGCTCTCCTCCCAGCTTTGTCTGTCCGTGTTTGTCTGTCTGTCTCTCTGCCCCTGTACTTTTTTTTTTTTTTTTGGTTGGTCATGGGGCTTGAACTCTGGGCCTGAGCGTTATCCCTCAGCTCTTCAGCTCAAGGCCAGTGTTCTACTTGAGCTACAGCGCCACTTCCAGTTTTCTGGTGGTTTATTGGAGCTAAGAGTTTCACTGACTTTCTTGCCCGGGCTGGCTTTGAACCGTGATCTTCAGATCTCAGCTTCCTGAGTAGCTAGGATTACAGGCATGAGCCACCTGTGTCCAGCTGCCCCTGCACTTTGAGGCCCTACTGGGCTGTGAGGTGACATCGTTATAGTCTACGTGGACTCTTTTAAGGCTGAAGGACATCTAGTACCAAGAAAGTATTGCTCCAAAATTCTGTTCCCTGAGGGGATCTGGTGAACAGAGACCTGGCTAGGAACACCACAGGGGCTGCGCTATTGGGCAGCAGGGAAGCCCAGAAGGACAGGACTTTCTGGCTTTGCCCCTTTTGGTGGCAGGGTGGGCAGGACTTTTCTGTTTCAAGGGCTACAGTTTCTACATGCATAGGAATGTTAGCCTGCTGACAAGGGAGAAACAAAAATCTTGAGGCTTTTGGTTGCTGGGTGTGGATTGATAGGATTGAGAGAGGGAGCCAGTACTTCTACGGGAGGGAACAGTGAACTTCCTGTGGAAAGCCTAGGAGGGGAGGGACTTCCTGTTTCCAAGGAAAGACGGGGTGGGACTTCTTGAGTTGGTGAGTGGGTGCTGGAGGGCCCCATTCCAGGTGTGTGTGTGTGGGAGGGGTCATTTCTTGTCTCCCCATAGGTGGCACTACCCCTATAATCAGGGAATAAGGCCCATGAATGAAAAGAGGTAGAAAGGCACTGGGCACAGTGGGTACCTACAGTGGAAGGAGAAGGGGCAGCCAGGAGCCCATGGGATAAAGAACAAGGGGCTGGTGCCAGACAGGACAGGGCAGGGCAGGGTAGCTTTTACACTCCCTTCCAGCTGGCTCCCAGGAATGTGTGAGGTGTGAGGTCGGCCAGGGCCAGGGTCTGGGCCTGGACAGTCACCTGCCCCCCCCCCATGGCTGCTATTCTCAGAGTTCCCCACCCACACCCCCTCCCATTTGGGTGGTTCCCTGGCCAGAGAACACCCTGCCCCTCCTCCACCCTGAGTTCAGAGCCCAGCTTTTTCTATCTGGGAGAGTTCTGCCTTCTGAGGCCTCTGCTCTATTCTTTAGGCTTATCCCCCTCCGTCCTTCCGTCCTTCCTTCCTTCCCTCTCTCCCTGCTTTCCTTCCTTCCTTCTTTCCCTCCCTCCCTCCCTCCCTCCGCCTGTCTCTCCCTCCTTCCTTCCCTCCCTCTCTCACCCTCAGTTTCACCCTAGTCTGACTGGTTGGGCTCCCAGCCTCCACTTGAGGCTTCCCTGTTCTAAAGCTTTGGGACTCATGCCCCACCCTGCTAGGCTAGTGTGTTTGGGTTGGGCCACCCCCTTACCCCAGGCATAAGGTATGGAGCCCACACATCACCCATCTGCTGTGTCTGGAGCTGTGGTGGGGGAGAACAGGGTCTAAATGGCAGGGGACCTCCCTTTTTTGGAGGGAAGGCGGGTTAGAGGGAACTGAGGGTGCTTTACCAAGTCCTTAAATCTGGGATGGAGAAATAGGATTCCTGGTGAATTCAGACTGTTCATGTAGTGTCCCCTACACCCCTGTGGGAAGCTGGGAGGGTTAAGGTATGAACTTGAATATGACGTGGTCTGGCTTTGGGGTGGGGAGGTCTGTGCATTTAAAGAGAATGAATCTTGTAGATTTCTCTGTCCAGTGCCCTCCTGGGGTCAGAAGCTACTTCTTATCTCATGCAACTCTAAAAGCAGTCACAGGATTCTCTTCTTCCAGATAAACAAAAACAAAAAGAACAGACTCCTGACTTGTAGAAAGATTCGTCCAAGGTCACTCAGCCATAAGTTCCCTGGAGTGGAAAGGAAATCTGAGCCTGACTCCACCCCAGCCATACTTTTTCTCTGTTGGGATAGGAAGGCAGTCTCTAGTATGTCTTCTCTCAGCCAGGCTGGGACAGCTCACCCTTGGAGTGGCAGGAAGCCAGCCCCTCCCCCTCCTTGCCCTGGCCCCGCCCCCAGGCTCCACAGATCCGGGAGGGTGTGTAGACTGGGCACATGAATGCTACTTTCTTGGCCTCTGGCCCATTCCCTGGGGGCTCCTAGAACACTTCTGGGGAGCTGGGCTGACCCCTGTCCTCAAGTTCAGAATCTCCCTACTTCTCCCAGAAGTTCTGCATCTATATCTGATCTTCAAATGGAAACTGTTTTATTTGACCTTTATTTGACCAGCCTGTAAGACTGTCCTCCAACCTGGACCCAAGAACTCTGCAGAGCTGAGTTCCCTCTTGTGTGTTCGGTACTGCACCATTCCAGGGGGTACTCTCAGCTGAAGCCACTAGTGTTTGTTGTTTTTTTGCCACTCCTGGGGCTTGAATTCAGGGCCTGGGTGCTGTCCCTGAGCTTCTTTTGCTCAAGGCTGGCGCTCTACCACTTGAGCCACAGCATCAATTCTGGCTTTTTTGTGTATGTGGTATTGAGGAATCCAACCCAGGGCTTCATGTATACTAGGCAAGTACTCTAACACTGAGCAACATTCCCAGACCAGCCACTAGTGGATTTTGGTTTTTTTTTTGTGCCAGTACTGGGGCTAGAACTCTGAGCCTGTGGCTCTCTCTCAGCCTTTTCACTGCAGTTGGTGCTCTTACCACTTGAGTCATACCTCCATTTCTGCCGTTTTGCTAGTTAGAGGTAAGAGTGTCTCAGATTTATCTGCCCATTCTGACTTCAAGTCATGATCCTCTGATCCCAGCCTCCTAAGTAGCTAGGTTAACTGGGTTCTTAAAAGGGTGGCTTTGGGTTGCTGGAGTCCTAGTGCTTTGAAGTGTTAATGTTAGAATGTCACAAGGTAAGTGCTGTCAAAACTCTCCAGTGCTAGACAAACAGGAGATAGTTATCTGTCAGCCAATGAATGTTTATTGTTGTATTCTTCCTTTGTTTTTGGCAAGGATGTAGAACTTATTTGGCATCTTTGCCCAAGTGTCTGCCAGAGGCAAGGCCCATGTTCCTATTTTCCTGTGCCTGTCCCTCTTTGGTCTGTGTATGTAGTGGGTGTTCAATTTTTTTTTTCTTTTTTGTGCTAGCCCTAGGTCTTGAACCTCAGAGCCAGGGCAATATCTCTGAGCATTTTTGCTCAAGGCTAGTACTCTACCACTTGAGTCACAGCTCTTAAGGCTTTTTTGGTGGTTAATTGGAGATAAGAGTGTCACACACTTTCCTGTCTCAGGCTGGCTGCAAACTGTTATCCTCAGATCTCAGCCTCTTTGAGTAGCTAGGATTATAGGCATCAGCCACCAGCACCCACCCCTCTGAGTTTTCTTGTGGTAGTCTCAGTCTCCATGAGGTATCCTGGATTAGAATAGCTGGAAGATGGCTCCCCTGCGCGCCCCCCCCAATCCTGGGGCTTGTGCCTCTCTGTACTCAAGGCTCGTACTCTACCATTTGAGCCACAGTGCCACTTCCAGATTTTTCTGTTTATGTAGTACTGAGGAATTGAGCCAGGGCTTCATGCATGCTAGGCAAGCACTCTACCACTAAGCCACATTCCCAGCCCTAGAAGATGGCTTTTTTCCCCTTGGTTGTGGGACTTGAATTCATGGCTTGGCACTGTCCTGACCTCTTGCTCAAGGTTAGTTAGTACTCTACTGCTTAGAGACACAGATCCACTTCTGACTTTCTAGTGGTTAATTGGAGATGAGTATTAAGAAACTGGGTAGTAGTGGCTCATGCCTGTAATCCTAGCTTCAGGAGGCTGAGATTTGAGGATCATGGTTCAGAGCCATTCCAGGCAGGAAAGGCTGTAATATATGTCTCTTATCTCCAGTTAACAACCAGAAAACCGGAAGTGATGCTGTAGTTCAAAGTGCTAGAGCACTAGCCTTGAGCACAAAAGTTCAGGGATAGCGCCCTAGGTCCTGAGTTCAAGTCCCATGACCAACAACAAAAAGACTCTCATGGACTTTTCTAACTTTGAACTACGATTGTCAGATCTCAGCCTTCTGAGTAGCTAGGTTTACAGGTATCTTTGACACACTCTATCCTGCCCTCCACTTGAACACATCTCCAGGCCCAGGTGTCCTTCTTCACTCTGCTCTCCCAGGTCTATTCACCCCATTGGTTGCTCTACCTGTCAGTGCCTTTTGCACCCAAGCTTGGACAGGAAATGGAAAATTCCCAGCTCTCTCACGCTCCCTTCCTTAGTGGCAGGGCTTCAGCAAGGGTGACCTTGGGCTGAGGGCTGATCCCCCTGCAAGGAGGCTGGTTGGAGCTGACCGCCAGAAGGGAGGGGCTCACCAGGAGCTGCTGAGCATTGCTGGCCACCTGGTGGGACTATGGTTCTGAGGCTGTTATGGCTGGCCAGGGCTCTGTCACCCTGCTTGCTAGAAGCAAGGTGGAAGGCCCCCACACTGTGGGGGCTGGGCTGGCTGGTGGACCACAAGGTGGAGCAGGGGGCCTGGGTGTGCAAGAGAGAGCCTTAGAGATGGGGCAGGTATCAATGGCCTGTGCAAAACCCAGGGTCTTGAGAAAAAGCCAGTTTCTGAGACCCAGAGCTGGGTATTCCTGGGCCAACTGGGATCATAACCCTAGGGAACGCTGAGCTTGTGTTGCCCTCTGGTGGTCATTTAACCAACATCCAGACCTGCTACTGATTTGGCTCCCTTTCATCCCTCTCCCTGCTCTCTTCAAAGCTCTCTTGGTCTTCCCAATGTCCCACGTCCAGCCTCACCTGTCTACCCTCTCCTTAAAGTCCTGAGACCTTCTCTTTAAAGTCCTGGGATCAGTCCAAAAACCTAGACCCAAGGCCTCAGATTCAGAAGCCATCTTTGATTTACAAGGCTCTGTTGCCATGGTAACCATTACCATTCCTCCTCTCCTTTGTAGTGGGGGGGGGTGGGAGATACTCTCTATTACTCTGATCCCAGGGGTCATTGGTGATGCAGGCTTTGTGTTTTGGAGGGTTATCAGAGCCTCCCATTCCCCCTCTTATCTGAGGCCTTAAGAGGCAGGTGTTAGCTAGCCCAGAGCAGGCAGGCGTTAGCCCAGAGCAGGCAGGCAGGGTCAGAGGTTAGAAGAGGCTGGTTTAGGCCTCACCTTGATGCCCCTCCCCAAGCCAGACCTCTTAGCCTCAGCCCCTCCCCTGTCTCAGGCCACCAGCTGACTTCCCTCTGTCACCCCCTCCCCTCCACTCTGGGATTGGTGCCAGGGTGAAAAGGGGACACTGGCACAGACTGTGTGTGTCTGGGAATTCCCGCCCACCGTGGAGCCAGAGGAGGGGGGGTCCCGGTGTCCCTGGGGAGCCAATAGCAGCCAGGCCTTCCCTTGGGGTTGGGGGGGGGAGGGAGGCTGTGTATATCTTTCAGGCCAGCACCCTGTAGGTTCTGTTTCCACTCTGCCTGCCTGGTACCAGCGAAACCCCGCTCTGTCCCGGGGGGCTCTGAGCCCCCCAGGCACTGGCTCTGATCTTGGAGGTGGGGGGAGGTTGAGGACCCTTGGTCCTCAGGGATGGCTCAGCCAGGGGTTTCTGTTAAGTCTCTGGTGTCATCTTATGAGACCCGAGTGGTAGGGATGGCTCCGGGGCCATCCCGGAAAAGGGGCTGTGTCTCCTCCCCGTGCTCCCCACGCGGAGCTTCTCCCATCCGAGGGGCACCTGGACCCCCATCCCACCGAGGCCGAGGGGGGTCGGGCCAACGATCTGTACCCTGTCGGGGGATGGACAAAAGCCTCCTCCCCCTGATTCTCTACTGCCACAGGTAATGGGTGCAGGCCAGAGGCTGAGCTTGAGGAGGCTGGAGGTTGCTCCAGGGAAAAGCTGGGCTGTAGGAACACTTGGCTCCTCCTCTTCCTCACCTGTCACTTCTCTGTGTCTCTCCAGTGGTTCCGGAAGCCTGGTTGGCATTGACAACAAGATCGAACAAGCCATGGTAAGAGGAAATGTCTCTGTCCACTTCTGTTTAGCCTGCTGCTTGAGAATACTAACCCAGCCCCTTGACCCCACCCCTGTCCTGCATCCTTGCACCCCTCCTTCATGTCCCCTTCTTTTTTTGTCGGTCTTGGGGCTTGAACTCTGGGCCTGGGCACTCCCTGAGCTCTTCAGCTCAAGGCTAGCACTCTACCTCTTGAGCCACATTTCCACTTCTGATTTTCTGGTGGTTTATTGGTGATAAGTGTCTCATGAATTTTGCCATCTGGGCTGGCTTTGAACCTCGATCCTTAGATCTCAGCCTCCTGAGTATCTAGATTACAGGTGTGAGCCACTGGTGCCCAGCTTCCCCTCCTATTTTGGAGGGTGCAAAAGCATCTTTCAAGGCACTGGGGTAAAGGATGTGGTCTGGGTAGTAGTTGAGCAGTTGTGATGCCTTTTTTTTTTTTTTTGCCTGTCCCCTTGTTCCCCAGGACTTGGTGAAGTCCCACCTCATGTTTGCAGTCCGGGAGGAGGTAGAGGTGCTGAAGGAACAGATCCGTGATCTGGCGGAGCGGAATGCAGCGCTGGAGCAGGAGAATGGACTGCTACGAGCCCTGGCCAGCCCAGAGCAGCTAGCCCAGCTGCCTTCTTCGGGGCTCCCTCGGCTTGGGCCCCCTGCACCCAACGGGCCCTCTGTCTGAGCCTCCTTTCCCTCACAATGTGCCTTTGGGGGAGTGCCACAGCTGCTGGGCTTTGCACCAGCTGCCTGCCCCCTCTTTCTATGCAGCTTTAATGCCCCCCTCCCCAAATCCCTGAAACTGGGAGTTCGAGGCTCAGTGTTGGCCTGTTCCCCCACCCTACCCCATCTCCCCCTTGGTCCCCAAACCTTGATGGAGGAGGGAAGGCTCAGGATGGAGTGTTAGATGGAGCCCCCATCTCCACAAGAGGTCCCAGCCCCTGTCCCTCCCTAGGTATCAGTGTTCTGGGGAACCCCCAGTAGATGGCTTTGAGAGGAGGAGTCAGAAGCTCCCTAGCACACACCTTTGTTCCCTTGAAGTTCTCCCCCCACCTCTCCATTGCCCAGGGGAGGGCACTATGGACAGTATCTGGAAGTTCTGGGATTCAGGTTGTTATTAAAATAATAATTATAATTAAAAAAAATCTGAAGAAACTTGAATTTGGAGGTTGGTATAGAATTGCTTGCCGGCCACTGTGAACTTCTGTGAAGATCTCTGTCCACTCTGGGGGTGAGAGTTGGGGGTGGGGAGGAGGGGGAGGTTGGTGGGGGCAGAGTGGGTCCAGAGAGATTTAGTACCGGATCCTGGGAAGAAGGGCAGGCAGGCCAGGCAGAGAAAAGTGTGGTGAGGGCAGCATCTGCCCACGTGCTGATGGGGGAAAGAGACACAATGAAGCCTTTGGTGAAAGTACAGGATCCACCCCCTCCTCCCCCCAGCTTCCCAGCGTGTCCCCTCTGCAGGCTTGGGGGCGGGGTGGAGGACCCTGAATGGGCCCCTTGTCTTCAGGTTGGGTGTAGGCCAGGCTCCTTAGCACATGGTGCCTTCACCAGGCCTGACTGGCTGCTGCTGTGGGTTCCACCCCTCTTTCCTCTCCCATCCTTCAGCTGGCTGAGGATGGGCCCTGTGGGTGAGCAGGCCCCTCCCTGGCAGCCTGGGCTCTTGTCCTAGTTGGAAAGTCAGCCAGGAAGGTCGCCATCTAGTGGGAGGAAGGGGACCATGGGAGATCGAGGGCTCCTGGGGACCTGGAGGAATTGTGCAGAAGCTGGAGGGCAACCTGGGTTAGTTTTTTTGTTTTAGTTTTTGTCAGTCGTGGGGCTTGACCTCTGGGCCTGGGCACTGTCCCTAAGCTTCTTTTGCTCAAGGCTAGCACTCTACCTCCTGAGCCACAGTGCCACTTCAGGCTTTTTCTGTTACATGGTACTAAGGAATCAAGCCCAGGGCTTCATGAATGCTAGGCAAGCACTAAGCCACATTCCCAGCCTGGCTGGAGCTCTTCTGACTTAGGACTGGGAAAAATCTGTGCGCTCGCTCGTGTTCTTTCTGTCTCTGTCTCTGTCTCTCTCTCTCTCTGTCTCTCTCTGTGTCCCTGTGTCTCTGTCTCTCTTGGTCATGGGGCTTAGATTCAGGACTGGGTATTCTATCTCTGAGCTTTTTATACTCGAGGCTAGCACTCTACCACTTAATAGCCACAGCTCCACTTCCTGTTTTCCTATGGATAATTGGAGATGAATGTCACAGACTTTCCTGTGAGGGCTGACTTCAAATCACAATCCTCATATCTCAGCCTCTTGAATAGCAAAGATTTCAGGAGTAAGCCACTGGTACCTGGATGAACTCAGATTTTCTGACTCTTAAGTCACCTCATGGGTAGGGTGACACTGACCATAACACATACCTTGAAGGGAACTTAGTATGACACAACCCATGGGAAAGTCCTGGCACATACAAGCATTCAGTTACTGTTTTCTTCTCTTGGATTTGGGCTTGGTAAAGTCAAAACGATGAATGATTGGCTCTGTGGGTGCTGGAAGGGCTGTGGGGGTTGGGGCAGGGTCCTGGCAGCTCTCACAATGGGCTAGAATTCTCCCTTACTGTAGGTTCTCATCCACTTGGACTCCTCTCCCTGCCCCAGGGAGGGGAGGAAGAGCCTGGGACGAGTCACTAGGGAAGAGTTTCTCCCTTGTATTTCCTGGTTCTTCCTTCACTGTTGTGTTTGAAGCTCCTCAGCTTCCACGAGCCCCCTTCCACTGGCAGCCATTGGCTTACAGCCTGTCCCCTGCCCTGCTCCGAATGCTGGCTCTGCCCCTACTTTGAACTCTTTATATCCAGTCATGGTCTCAAGGTTCTTCAAATGGGTTAGGCGTGTTTGGCAAAAGATGAACAGTTGGGTGAGTTTCATACACTGCCTGGGATAAGGGCTTTGGCCAGTGACATCTTGGTTGTGGTACACACCACACACACACCAACCAACCATCTTCCTTCACTCCTGGCCTCTTGGGACTAAGCAAGACAGGATAGGAAGCAGGGAGGATTAAAAGGGATGGAAAAGAACATTTGGGAAGGAGGCCAGTGAAAGTCATCCCTGATTTGTGTGTGTGTGTACTAGAGCTTGAAATTGAGGCCTGTCTTTTAGCTTTTTGTTCAAAGCTGGTGCTTTACCACTTGAGCCACACCTCCATTTCCAGCTTTTGATGGTTAATTGGAGGCCAAAGTCTCATGGCTGGCTTTGATCCATAATCAGATCTTAGCCTCCAGAATAGCTGGGTATGAGTCAGATTGAGGGACTTCTTGTTGCTGGCAGCTACCCCTTTTCTGTTTCTGTTTTGTAGGTTTTCTCCTGGAGACACAAACCTGAGTCAATGCTGTTGGAACGATCTAGCTCCAAGAAACTAGCCCTGAAAAAGATGGAGAAGACTCCTGCAGAGCTTTCAACATCAAAATTAGTCCAGACACCCAGTCTGAGTGCGTGCGCGAAGGCGCTTGAGCCCTGTGCATTGGCCACTACCACAAAGCAGTCAATGGGCAGCCATGGGAATCGCTCCTTGATGCAGGTGTCCCGGACGGCTGTCCAGTCCGTCTCCTCGCTTATGTTGTCTACCCTGCGGTCTGGTTGGCAGATGTGTAGGTGGAAGGTGAGTACTTTCCCACCTTCCAAATCGCCAGTGATTCATTTCTTCCCCCATTCATTTGTCTAGAAATTCTTTCCTGTGCTCCTTGTGTTGCCAGGCACTGAAAAGACAATGATGAACAGGATCAGAGGACTGGTTGGTTCTGTATCTCAAGAGGGATGTATTGTGGGAGGTATAGGGAGCTGGGAGTGCAGACCTGGGGACACAGAGAAAGAAGAAGACAGGGTGAGCCAGGTGTTGGTGGCTCAGGCCTATAATCCTAGCTACTCAGGAGGCTGAGATTTGCGGATTGTGGTTCAAAGCCAGCCTGGGTCAATTAACTACCAGAAAACTGGAAGTGGCATGTTGGCTCAAAATGGCAAGCCTTAAATGCAAAAGCTCAGGGACAATGCCCATGCCTTGAGTTCAGGCCCCCATGACTGAAAAAAAAGCGTGTGTATGAAATAAAAGAGTTCACTTCATTTGAGTTGGGAAAGGATTGATAAGGGGAGGTAGAAGGAAAGGGAGGGGTGGTCCAGGAAGAGAGAATAGCAGGTGTATTCAGGAATGGCCTGAGGGGTCTGGGAGGGGGGTGGAACAATCCCTGAGCCGAGAGACAGCTCACCTCACACCAAGCAGGTAGATGGTGAAGTTGTAGAATTTGATTGTTTGTTGTTGTGTCTGTTCTGGGGCTTGAGCTTTCACTTGGCCTTTTTTTTTTATATGAAGCAATTTATTATTATTTTTTTTTCATTTGGTTGATTGGTTTTGTTTTCTTTTTTTTTAATTTAATTTTATTTTATTTGTGAACATACTGTACAGAGGAGTTACAATTACATGGGCAGGATAATGCGTACATTTCTTACCAAGCATTGCAGCCTCCTCCTTTGTTTACCCTTCACATCCCTTCCCAGCCTCCCCCCTCCCCCCCATCACTTGGCCTTTTTTGCTGAAAGCTGTCTCTACCACTTGAACCACAGTTCTACTTTTGGCGTTATGATGGTTAATTGGAGATAAGAGTGTCTTGGACTTTTCTTCCCCAGGCTGGCTTCAAGCTGCCATCCTCAGATCTCAGCCTCTTGATAGGTGACTTGAGCCAGCAGTGCCTGGCCCCAAACAAACTGAGTTCTCTCTCTATCAATTGTCATACCGATTTGCTTCACCAGGTGCTAAAGATGATGGGCCTTGTTTCAAACCCTAGTGATTGACAAGAGCAGACAAGCCATTTTCAAATTTTTCTTTTTTGTGCTGGTACTGGGAGTTGAACTCAGGGCCTAAGCACTATCCCTGAGGGTTTTTGTTTTCTTTTTGTCAGTCCTGGGGCTTGAATTCAGGGTCTGGGCACTGTCCCTGAGCTGCTTTTGCTCAAAGGCTAACACTCTATCACTTGAGCCACAGCACCACTTCTGGCTTTTTCTGTGTATGTGGTACTGAGGAATTGAGCCCAGGGCTTCATGCATGCAAGGCAAGTACTCTACCACTAAGCCACATTTCCAGCCCTGTCTCTGAGTTTTTTCACTCAAGGATAGCACTCTATGATTTGAGCCACAGCTTCACTTACAGTTTTTCGCTACTTAATTGGAAAAAAGAGTCCCATAGATTTTCTTGCCCAGGATTGGCTTTGAACTGTAATTCTCAGATCTTGACATCCTGAGTAGCTAGGATTACAGGCATAAACCACCAACTCCCAGCTATTATCTTTTATTTAACACATTCACCATGAAATTCAAAGGTTTGAGTGAGGATTCAAAGGTAGCTATTTTTCATGAGTGGCAAAACAGGACAGTCTTTGGAATAAACAGTGCATAAAATGTGGCATGCTGGGGCAGATAGCAGAGATAGAGAGTGTGAACAGACCAAAAGAGTCTTTTGGAATGAGGTGTATTTGAGGGAGTCTGATGGAGGAGGTGGAATGAGTCTAACCTTTTTCTGTCTATCTGCGGGTGATTCTACCTAATATTTTTTCCTCTAGTCCCAGGGATTTGCATGCGTGCATGCATGTCATCTCTTTCTCTTGCAGTCTGTAAGTTCTTCCTCAATTACCTCTCAAATGAGGGTCCGGTCCCCCTTGGATACGCCAGAGGCTGAGATGCTACGAGAAGTATACCTAGTGCTGTGGGCCATTCGGAAACAACTACGACAGCTGTCCCGCAGGCAGGAGCGGCGCAGGCGACATCATATCCGGACCCACATATCTCCACCCCCTGACACGGTGCCAGGCCTGAAGCAAGATGCCCAAAGTCCCCTCTAGGTCGGGGGAGCCCTAGAACCTCAGAAATCCCCACCTTGCTCTTAGGTAAGGTGGATCAAGAGGGGTCAGGACAACAGGCCAGAAGTTGTGGGTAAGGAGACGTTTTTCATGCTGTTAACTCCCATTGGGAGCCCCAAGGCCAGGCCTGGGGGGTCATACCTACTCCCCTTCTCTGTGTTTATTCAAGTTGTAAAAAAGATGATCAAAGTATTGATTAATAAATATCACATATTTCTGAGTAGATGAGTGAGCTTGTGAATAGAAGAGCTTTAGGGAGGCCAGGATAGGGCATCCCAGTTTGGAAATCCTGATATGTATAGGAGTGACCCTCAGTCTGTGATAAACAGGGACTGTATTTCCTCTAGGCAGTTGATGGGTAGCCATAGCAACAAACAGCTATTGCGTACCCTTTGAGCATCTAGCATGCATCAGGCAATCTGCTAGTTAACATTCTCTAGCAGTTTTTCAAGGAAGTTATTTAGGGTGGGTCTGTTCTGAACTGACCACCCCCCATGCTTTTTTTTTTTGTTGGTCATGGGGCTTGAACTCTGGGCTTGGGTGCTGTCCCTGTGCTCTTCAGCTCAAGGTGAGCACACTACCACTTGAGCCACAGTGCCAATTCCAATTTTCTGAGTGGTGTATTGGAGATAAGAGTCTCATGGACTTTTCCTGCCTTGGTTGGCTTTGAACTGCAATCCAGATCTCAGCCTCCTGAGTAGCTAGAATTACAGGTGTGAGCCACTGGCACCCAGCGCTGTCCCCCCACCCCTGCTCTTTTTCTTAGGAGCTCTTGGCTTTGGCCATGCCGTGGCCTTGGAGCCTGTGATTTTGACCCAGCTGTCCACGTCCTGCCAAGAACCTTGGGAAACTACACTTCCCAGAATGCCTGGCAGCAATGTGGGCTCTGAATAGGAACCCTACCCATGCCACTGCAGAAGTCAAGTGACAGCTGTGTTGATCCAGCAGGGATGGGATGGGAAGGCCCAGCTTGGCACTGGGAGCCCAACATCTCTGGAGGGAGCCATGTTGATGTGGAGGTTGTATTTTAGACGCCTCAGGAGGGGAGATCCTGCAGCTGTCAGTCTTAGCCTGGCCTCTGGGCCAGACCTGGGAAGTTGAAGGGATCGTTTTCCAGGGTAAAGCAGGCATCTTTCACCAGAAAGCAAAATTTGGAGGATGTGAGGGGGTCACAGGATTTGCAGATGGCAGCAGATTGCTGGAGGAGCTTGTGTAAGGGAGGAGGGTAAGGAACATTACTACAGCTCTGCTGGGTGATGCTCAACTAGTGACTTGCTGAGCACAGTAGGGGGAAAGTGAGGAATGGCAGGCAGGGATGGTTTTCTTGAGGTCATTAGACAACTCACCCACCCCTCCACTGCTATGGGAGGGTTGGGCCCACTTAATATTAGTCAATACTTAAAGCAACAGTACTAACACCTATTACTTAGGAAGCCCTTGTAACCAGATAACCAGATGATGGATGAGGAGGTTGCCTGAAAACTTCCTTCTTGGGCTGGGAAGGTGGCTCAGTGGTAGAGTGCTTGCCTTGCATGCCTGAGGCCCTGGGTTCGATTCCTCAGCACCACATAAGCAAAAAGAAAGAAAGGCGGAAGTGGCGCTGTGGCTCAAGTGGTAGAGTGCTAGCTTTGAGCTGAAGAGCTGAGGGACAGCGCCCAGGCCCAGAGTTCAGGCCCCATGACCGGACCCCCCCAAAAAAACACAAAAAAAACTTCCTTCTTTCCTCCCTTTCTCCTTTCTCCTTCATCCTTTCCACTCCTTCCTTCCTTCCTCCTTTCTTTCTTTCCTTTTTTTTTTTTTTTTTTGGTGCTGGTCCTGGGGCTTGAACTTAGGGCCTAGGTGTTATCCCTTAGCTTTTTTTTTGCTCAAGGCTTGGCATTCTGTTACTTGAGCCACAACTCCATTTCCTGCTTTTTGTGGTGCTTAATTGGAGCTAAGGGTCTCACAGACTTTCTTGCCCTGGTTGGCTTCAAATTTAGATCCTCAGATTCAGGGCATGAAAAAGAGAACTTCTAGGTGGGCGCTAGTGGCTTATACCTGTAATCCTTAGCTACTCAGGAGGCTGAGATCTGAGGATCACCGTTCAAAGCCAGCCTGGGCAGGAAAGTCCATGAGACTCTTTATCTCCAATAAACCACTAGAAAACCAGAAGTGGTGCTGTGGCTCAAGCGGTAGAGCACTCACCTTGAGCTGAAAAGCACAGGGATAGCACCCAAGCCCAGAGTTCAAGCCTCATGACTGTCAAAGAGAGAGAGGTGGGGGGAAGAGAGAACTTCTGCTTTCAGGTTTTTAGGAGAGACCTCATGGTGAACTGGTGTATAGTGGCTCAATTTTGGAGTTTCCAACCACCAGTTGTTTGCTATATCTCCAGTGTATATCAGGAAACATTCTGGGATCAAACAGCATTGGTGATAGGTCCCAGGAACCCTGAGGTATAATAGATCCCAGACTCTTGGAGTAGCATCTACCATCACCATCTGATGTGAGCTTTTATATCCAGATTCAGAATCAGCCTCCAAGTTTAGAAATGGGCTCCTGTTCACTGAGAACCTCAGGTTTGAGAGAGGATTGGAAAGGCCAAAGCATGGTCTCTGGTAAATAATCTTGCAGGTAGCTACAAGCCCAGGAAACATCCAGGCCTGAGGCTATGTGCAAATGGAAAGGAATCCTGCTCTCATTTTTCCTTGACTTCTTCACCATCATAAGAGTGGGAGGTAGAAAGAGGACCCTGAGTTCTGCCAGAAGCCATTGGGAGTTACTGGTATATCCTACCTCTCTCCTTCCCCAGTCCTGTCTGGGCTCAGCCCAGGAAATTGAAGGAAAACTTCAAAGTAAAGGTGGATGCCCAGAACTGTCTACCCGAGTTGGCCTCCTTCCTGACTCATCCTGAGGAATCCCAGCCAAAAGCTCTGAGGACTGTAGGATGACCAGAGAAGGAGGAAAACATGTAGAGTCTCCTGGAATGGGAAGAGAGTAGTACTCAGCACTTAGGAAGTAGAGGCAGTAGGACTGCAAGTTCACAGCCAGCATGGGCTACTGAGACATCATCAGGAAAACAAAAACAAAAAATCCATATACCAGTGGCTCAGCCTATAACCTAGCTATTTAGGAGGCTGAGATATGATCTGTTTGAGACCACTCAGGGCAGGAAAGTCTGTGAGACTCTTATCTCCAATTAACCACCAAAAAACTGGAGACAGAGCTATGGCTCAAGGAGTAGAGCACTAGTTTTGAGCCAAAAAGCTCAGGGACAGTGCTGGGATCAAGTTTCAAGCCCCAGGACAGGCACAAAGACAAACAGATTTGGCCTGGTTTGCTCTGGTCCCTGAGGTTTCTGAGCATGTCATTTCTTTTTTTTTTTTTTAATTGGGGACTAAGTTTTATTTATTTATTTAGGGTCCGGTCATGGGGCCTGAACTCTGGGCCTGGGCGCTGTCCCTCAGCTCTTCAGCTCAAGGCTAGCACTCTACCACTTGAGCCACAGTGCCACTTCCGGCTTTTTTCTTTTTGCTTATGTGGTGCTGAGGAATCGAACCCAGGGCCTCAGGCATGCAAGGCAAGCGCTCTACTGAGCCACCTTCCCAGCCCCTGAGCATGTCATTTCTTCATGGACTTTCCCAAATCATGTGACCAGAGATGGGGAAAACCCTCTTTGAACCTAACATCTCTCGATGCTTTATTTTTTCATTGTAGTTAATGGTACCTGATACGATCATATTTGTATAAGATGTGAAAGTTGCCAGAATAAAAATGGAGTCACTTGTGTTAATCTTTCCTTTTTTTTTTCTTTTGTACCAGCACTGAGACTTGAACTCAGAGTCTCATTCTCTTTTTTTTTTTTGGGGTCCGGTCGTGGGGCCTGAACTCTGGGCCTGGGCGCTGTCCCTCAGCTCTTCAGCTCAAGGCTAGCGCTCTACCACTTGAGCCACAGCGCCACTTCCGGCTTTTTTCTTTTTGCTTATGTGGTGCTAAGGAATCGAACCCAGGGCCTCTGGCATGCAAGGCAAGCACTCTACCACTGAGCCACCTTCCCAGCCCTCAGAGTCTCATTCTATTGCTTAGTTTTTTTTTTCCCCCCAGTCATGGGGCCTGAACTCTGCTGAACTCTTCAGCTCAAGGTTAGCGCTCTACCACTTGAGCAACAGCGCCACTTCCAGCTTTTTCTGCTTATGTGGTACTGAGGAATCAAACCCAGAGCCTCATGTATGCAAGACAAGCAATCTACCAGAGTCACTTTCCCAGCCCCTCTTACTTAGCTTTTTTTTAGCTTAAGGTTGGAGTTCTGCCACTTTGAGCCACACCTTTGTTTTTTTAGGCTAACTTGAGATGATGAGTCTCATAGACCTTCCTGCTCAAACTGGGTTCAAATCACAATCTTCATACCTCAGCCTCTTGAGTAGCTAGGATTACAGGTATAAGCCACTGATGTTTGACTACATTGGTGGTTTCTGAGGAGCTTTTATGCCTGGACAGTCTGTTTTTTTTTTTTTTTTTTTGTCAGTCATGGGCCTTGAACTCTAGGCCTAGGCACTGTTCCTTAGCTCTTTAGCTCGAGGCTAGTGCTCTACCACTTGAGCTACAGCACCACTTCCTGTTTTCTGGTGGCTTATTGGAGATGAGTCTCACACTTTCCTGCTGGGCCTGGCTTTGAACTATGATCCTCAGATCTCAGGCTCCTGAGTAGCTAGGATTATAGGTGTGAGCCAACGGCACCTGGATAGCCTGGGTTTTGAGCTTCCTTGTGCTCTTAGGCTTCCTAAGGATGATTGGTGCACTAGTGCCCAGCCATTGTGCTTCCCTCCTAGTTGGAAGAACAGGCATGTCATTGGTTTGAGAGGGAATCTTGTGAGCTTTTATATACAGATTGGCTTCAAATCACAATGCCTTGCTCTGTCTCCCAGGTAGGGAGCCTCCTAGGTAGCTAAAATGATAGGTACAAGCCACTGGCGGTGCCTGGTTTCTATGTGTTTGTTTTTGTGGTACTGATGACTGAACTCAGAGCCTCAGTGCAAGCATCTTGCCACTTGAGCCGCACCCTCAGTTGCATGTATTATTAATGAAGGTCTCAGGGTGCAGTCCCCAGGTAGGAGTAGCAATGTCTTCTGGTGATCTATGGAAATGCAAACTCTCAGGATTGGTGCCCCAAATCTATATCAGAGACTTGGGTGGAGCCCAGCCAAGTCATCTGTTTTAACAAGCCTGATGAAGTCTTCGAACCACTGCCACATTGCATGGGAATGTGGACAGTCAGGATTTGGAAGTCAGGCCATATCACAGTTGCCTACGAGCTTGTTAAAAATATGTATTTCTAGCTGGGTACTGGTGGCTCATGCGTACAATCCTAGCTTCTCAGGAGACTGAAGATTGTAGTTTGAAGCCACCATGGCTGAAAAGTCCCCTAGATTCCATCTCCAAAAATAGCCAGCAAGAAACAGGGCTAAGTTGGGCACTGGTAGCTCATGTCTCTGTAATCTTAGCTACTCAGGAGGCTGAGATCTGAGGATTGAGGATCTAAACCAGTTCAGGTAAAAAAAAAAAGTCTATGAGATACTTATTTCCAGTTAACCAGCAAAAAGCTGGAACTGGAGCTGTGGCTCAAGTGGTGGAGTGCCAGCCTTGACTTTGTGTTTAAGGGATGGCATCCAGACTTTGTGTTCAAGCCCCCTATGGGGAAAAAAATAAATAGGAAGACTGGAGGAAGTGTTCAGCTAGTAGAATGCCATCTGGGCAAGCTGAACAAGTCTAAGGCTGGATTCAAATCACAAACACAGACACACAGACACACACACACACACAGACACACATACACACAGACACACACACACACACACATACACACGAGAATTCCTGGCCTCAAAAGTCAGACATTGGAGGTGGGGTAGGTAGGTATCTATATTTTAACCAGAAAAATACACACACACACACACACACACACACACACACACACACACAAGAATTCCTGGCCTCAAAAGTCAGACATTGGAGGTGGGGTAGGTAGGTATCTATATTTTAACCAGAAAAATAGACTTTGGGGACTCAGAAGGCTCCAGTCTTGAGATGTTAAGGTTGCCTCTTCGGTGTTTAGGGGATGCAAGACTAAAGTGAGAAGGTGGAGCCTCAAATTCCTGTCAAAGGGATTTGGACTTATTTTAAGGTCAATTATCTTCTTCTAAGATTGTGTTCCTCACTATGAAGACTTCAGAGAACCATGAGGACAATTTTCCATCAGATGGCAGTAAAGGGCTTTGAGAAAGCACATTTTCTAGTTTGTTAAAAGCAGCTTTCCTGGCATCTTTTCATGTTTCCTCCTCTCCCTGGTAATCTGGTGTTGTGATTCCACACTTCCTCATAAAACCTGGTATAAGAATCAGGTTTCCTCTAGACCGCTAGTTTGATACCTTGCTATTATAATCTTCTTTGGTAGGATTTGGACCTGTCAGTGCACCAGGTTGCACAGGTATCACACCTTACCACCCATCCTCTTGCATAAGAGTGTCTTCTGCACAAGAGGTTACCTCAGTGGGATTCTTGGGATGCATAAGTAGGTAGAGGAACCATGTATGGCAGACCACAAAGGAGACACTTCTTAGCACATCAATCCACCCAAGCTGACACTACACAAGGGCTGAGGGAAAGACGGGAAGCACAGGGGGCATTCTATAGGACTGGGAAATGGGTGGGGTGAGGAGCAGGATCTAGGGCACCAGGTGGGGACACAGTGAGGGTGGTGGTGGTGATGGTGGAAGCTGGCCTGGGGTCAGGAGAAGAGGAAGACAGGGAGGACCAATTTACTGGAAGGGGAGCAAGGCAAGAACAAGGGACACCATGTCTGCAATAGGGAAAGCCTGGGCTCCGATCCCTGGCCTGAGGGTGGAGAAGGGAGGGAAAGTTGATGCCTCTGAGGAAATGTAGACCTTGTGCCCAGTGCTCTGGCTTATCTCCATCCATGACAAGGTTCTCTGGATTCCAGGCTCCTTGGCTTCCCTGTGAGCCTGTGAGTCTCACCTCCGTTCGGCGATGGCTCAGTTCCGAGATCTTATCTAGTCTTCTACCTAGTAATATTTTTGGGGAACTCTCAAAGGTAACAAATCACAAGAGGCTGCCAGATTGGATGGATGCCAGGAGGAAGCCTGGGCTGTGGGTGAAGAAAACCCCGAAAATGCTGACCGTCTAGTTAAAACTTTCCTGTCGGGAGTTCCAGACAGAAAACGGAACACCCTGAGACCCTCAGACTGAGACCGGCCAGATAGAGATTTTGCTGAAGGAAGCTCGGTCCTCACAGGGACCCTTAGGACTGCCGCACCGGCCTCCGGGGCGGGGCCAAGTAGTGGGGCGGAAGTAGGGGGCGGGTCAAGGAACTGACGTCACGGGGCGCTGCAAGGGGCGGGGCTCTGTCCCCCCTCGTGGAGTGAGGGATAACGGTTTCCGGTAGTGGTCTCCCGACGGGAGGGGGAGGGGGAGGAGGAGGGAGCGAGGCCGTTTGCGGTGGCCCTCGCCGCTGGTACCCCAAGATGATGGACTGCGGGGAGTCCGAGCTGGAGTCTCTAAGAGGCGGAGATGCCCTGGCGGCCCCAGGACCACCCCCTGAGCCCCGAGCCCCGGAACCCCGCGTCCCAGTGCCCGAGCCCGGTCTAGACTTGAGCCTGAGCCCGCGGTCCGAGAGCCCCGAGCCGCGGAGCCGCAGCCCTGGGCGGCGGAAGGGACAGGCGGGGCGGCGGGAAGCGGCCCGCAGGGGGAGACAGGTGAGCTGGGGTCCGAGCTGCCCGGGGGACCCGAACGGCCCGGACGCTCACGGCCGGGTCCTGTGTCCCCCAGGTCCGCTTCCGCCTGGCTCCGTCCTCCCCGGGCCGCCCTGAGCCGCCGCCCGCCGCCCCGAGCGAGGCGCACGCGCTGGAGGCGCCCGCGCCGCGGAGCAGCCTGGCCTTGAGCGCCGAGCTGCAGGCGGCCCGGGCCGCAGCCTCGGGACCGTTTGATGCCGCTAAGGCCGTGGAGGAGCAACTGAGGAAGTCCTTCCAGACCCGCTGCGGCCTGGGGGAGAGCGTGGCCGAGGGTGAGGGGGGCGAGCGGCCTGCCGGGCGGGGGGGCCGGGCCGCGCGGAGCCGCTCACCCCCGCCCCTCCCGCGCTCTCAGGGCTGAACGTGCCGCGCTCCAAGCGGCTCTTCCGAGACCTGGTGAGCTTGCAGGTGCCGGAGGAACAGGTTCTCAGCGCGGCGCTGCGGGAGAAGCTGGCGCTCCTGCCGCCGCAGGCCCGAGCCCCGCCCCCGAAGGTGAGGGACGGGGCCCGGCCTCCTCCTGGTGTCCCCTCGCGCGCGTGTTCATCGCGGATTGTCTCCCCCCTCCCCTGCCCACACACACACCCCCGCCCCCAGGGTGTAAACTTACTTTTGGGGCCCAACTTCAACAGGAGCCTCCCGGGCCAGGGCCAGACATGACCATGCTGTGCGACCCAGACACACTGTGTTACGAATCTCCCCACCTGAGCCTGGACGGGCTGCCCCCTCTCCGACTCCAAGCCCGGCCTCGCCCTTCGGAGGACACCTTCCTCATGCACCGGACGTTAAGGCGGTGGGAAGCTTAGACCTCTGGATTGCCATTTTGTGTTAAAACCGTTTTAGAGAATAAAGTGGTTGTTAGATAATGGGACTGTTCTTGGGAGCCACAAGTACAGCTAAAACCGCTCCAAAGGTCCCTCCCAGGTTGGAAACTGCCTGGAGATGCGCTTTTTGGCCCTTACCTAGGCTATTACACAGCAAGCCTGTCTCAAACCGGAAGCAAAAATAGAAGTGGTGGGGCTGGGAAGTTGGCTCAGTGGTAGAGCGCTTGCCTTGCATGCCTGAGGCCCTGGGTTTTATTCCTCAGCACCATATAAGCAAAAAGAAAAAAAAAGCCGGAAGTGGCGCTGTGGCTCAAGTGGTAGCGTGCTCGCCTTGAGCTGAAGAGCTGAGGGACAGCGCCCAGACCCAGAGTTCAGGCCCCACAACCCGGACCAAAAAAAAAAAAAAGAAGTGGTGACAGGGCCCAAGGTTGCATATACCTGTTACCCTAGCTACTCAGGAGGCTAAGGATTGTGTTAGCCAGGGCAGGAGTCCATGGGAGTTATTTCCCATTAATAATAATTTAAAAAAGTCAGAAGCAGGCTATGACTGTAGTGGTAGAATGCTAGTCTTGAGCACAAAAGCTGAGGGACAGTGCCCAGGTCGAGTTCAAGGTCCAGGACCAGCACCAAAACAAAAAGGCAGATGTAGCTGGGTGAGCTTAACATGTACAAAGCCCTGGATCCTATTCACAGTACAAATGTTGAAAGTCCTTTGGATTTCCAGGTGTTATGTACCATTTGTATGTGTGGTGTGCTGGGGAACATAGGGTCTTGCACATGCTAGCTAGGTAAATGTTTTCCCGCTGAGCTACAGTCCCCTTGTGTGTTGTAATGTACTTAGAGCTTTTTCTTTTTTTCTTGTACCCTTCCGCTGAGCTAAACCCCCACCCCGGAGCTTTTTCTTTTTTGTGTGTTGACCATGAGGTTTGAACTCTGTGCCTGGGCTCTGCCCCTGAGCTCCTCAGCTCAAGGAGAGAGCTTTACCACTTGAGCTGCAGTGCCACTTCTGGTTTTCTGGTGGTTAATTGGAGATAAGTCTCAGGGACTTTCCTGCCCAGGCTAGCTTTGAACCATTATCCTCAGATCTCAGCCTCCTGAGTAGCTAGGATTACCTCCAATTAACCACCAGAAAACCGGAAGTGGCTCTGTGGCCTAAGTGGTAGAGGGCTTGCCTTGAGCTGAAGAGCTCAGAGACAGTGTCCAAACCAACTTCAAGACCCACGACTGATTAAAACCCCCCCAAAACAACTCCACCTCAAAAAACCTTACACTGATCCCCAAGTGTGGGGATTGCTTGAGTCTAGGAGTTTGCAAGGCACTGCTTAGCACTGTTAACAAAATTACTTGTTTTCCCTTTAAGGCTTTGTGTGCACCTTGTTTGACTTGATTGTTCAGTATTTTTTTTTTTTGTCAAAGTCATGGCTTGAACTCAGGGCCTGGGCTCTGCCTGAGCTCTTTTGCTCAAGGCCAGTGCTGTACTACTTTGAGCTACAGTGCCACTTGTGGTTGTCTGGTGATTAATTGGACCTGCCCAGGCTGGCTTTGAACCATAATCCTCAGATCTCAGCCTCCTGAATAGCTAGGATTACAGGCGTGAGCCACCAAACAGTGCCCAGCTTGCTCAGTATTTATTAGACGCGAAAGGTTTCCAGTAACCCTTGATGTATCACTGAAGAGCTTCCTGTTGCTAAATACTTGGTTTCACAGCACAGAAGAGTGGAAGGTCCCTGAAGCAGGTTGGTGGCTCTGGACCTAAGTATTTTTTAAAGTTCTCATGCAGTTCTGCCAAGGCTTCTCAGCCTTCTTAAAGCTCACCACCCACATCCAATAAGAATTGTGAATTTTTTTTCCCCCCAGGGAAGGAAGTTGGTAATCTCTACACACCAGAATTTTGTACTGGTGAGGCTCAAATGGTAAAAATATTGCCTATAGTATGCTCAAAGTCTTGGGCTCAGTTCCCAGTGCCACCAAAATAAATCAGGGCTCTATGTAACCAACTGTGTGTATATTTGATTAGCAGTTTTCCCTAACCACTGAAAAAACTTGCCCTCTTCCTTGAAACTCTAGGATAGGCAAAGAAAGCAAGCACAGGTTTTACTGAGGCACCACCCTCCCCAGCTAAAAAGTGCCAGACACAGGTATGGGGGCCACTGCCCTAGGTATCAAGTTTATTGTGCTGTTCTTACATTCCAAATCCAGTCCCCTCTCCCACTGGGGGACAGCAGCAGGAAGGATTTTTACAGTATCTGTGTGCCTCCCTGCCAAGCTCCCCGCTCCAACCCTTAGTCCATATATCTGTGGTCCACTGAAATGCAGCTAGGGACAAAGGCCATTCAGAAGTGGGAATCTTCCTGGGAAAACAAAAGTCAGCAAAACAGTCCATGCTATCCAGGCCCAGCAGGCCGGGGACAGGAAGATGACAGTAACTCCAGCACAGCTGGGCTTGCTGCTCAGGTGCAGGAGATAGGGAGGAGGCTGGGGCAGCAACTTAAGAAAAAGCCTTCTTTGCCAGACCCAAGGAAAGGAAACTTTGGAGTTTAGGAAGGAAAAACCTCATCACCCAGGTCTTCAGGAGCAGCAAGGGCAGCATCTTAATATTTTCTGTTCAGGGGGCCACTTAGTGGCTGGGGGAACGGGCCTTGTGGAACAGGTACACAGGACGCTGGAAGCCTGAGGGAAGAGTACACAGGAGACAGGTTGGCAGGCCCTCAGGACTCTCCACCCTCAACCAGGACCAGCCTCCCCCAATAATGAGCCAGACTTACCTTTGGAGGTATTGTGGGGTGTAGCCACAAGTTCATAGCTGGAAAAGCCCACTTCTGGGGATGTCAGGTAAGAACTGAACTGTTCTGGCTTCAGCTGGATTCGATAGTAGTTCTTGTAAATTGTTTCCTGGAGAGAAAGGCAGAGGAATACATCAGTTTGCTCCCTCCTCCCCCAGCCAATGATGCCCACCTAGGGGTCTTTTCCCTCTGCTCAAGATGTCTTTCTTGCTGGGTGCTGGTGGCTCATGCCTGTAATCCTAGCTACTCAGGAGGCTGAGATCTGAGGATCAAGGTTCAAAGCCAGCCTGGGCAAGAAAGCCCAAGAGACTCTTGTCTCCAATTAACTAACAGAAAACCGGAAGTGGCACTGTGGCTCAAAGTGGTTCAAAGTGAGTTCAAGTCCCGTGACCCAGGGGAAAAAAAAAGTTTGTCTTGCCTCAACCCAAGAATGATTCCCCATTTCCACAGAAACCTACCGTGAGAGTCTTTCTCTTGCCATAGGAGGACCATGGTTGGGGCTCCAAGACCAAGATGCCTCCAGGGCGTAGGTGCCGGTAGATCCGGCGGAACATGCGCTTCAGACCCTCATCTCCCCAGTTCAGGTGCACCCATTTGGTGAGGCTGAGGCAGAGCACCACATCATACTCCGGAGTTTGGGCCTCCACTAGCTCATCTCGATCCAGCACGTAGTTACCCTGAGAATAAGAATTGTGGTGAGGTCAACAAGACAAAGAACCATGCCCCCACAACCGCTCTGGAGGCTTTGTGACAATGTCCCACATTTCTTCTCTGCCACTCTTCAGACCCTTTCAGTCTAACTTTCTCTTCTTGCCTCTGCTTCTTCCTTATGGTAAAGTCAAACTTAAAATGGAGCCCTGTATTTTAAAACTGATTATCCATGAAATTTTCCTACTTGGAGTCAAAATTGTAGTGAGCAAATGCTGGAGGACTCCTAGACATGGGGCAGGGGCTCAACATTATACAAGGAGACCCGTGGGTCTTTCCCTGTAGGGGAGGGCTAGCAAAATGTCAGGCCTATTTTTTCCTTTCTCCTCGAGAAATCAAGAGCCACACATCCCCTTAGGAAATCTTTTCTAGAAGATATGCTCATCACTGTCCTCTGTAAAGTCCTTTCTTCAGGCTTGATCCGACCTAGCAGCCAACATTACTGCAGCCAGTCCAATGACAGTTTAATGGGGAGCTGTGTGCCGTCAGGGACATAGTCTCCCTCCCTGAAGAAGAGTCTGTGTTCCCCCTCCCACTACCCAGAGCCAATGTGGAAAAGACCTAATGCTGAGCAGATCTGTTCCTGGCCCCTGACTCATCAACTCTGTATCTAAGGAAATAGAAGCAGCTGATGCAAACAGAGGCCCTATCAAAGGGCAGAAACTTCAAACAGTCTACCACCAGTCTCCTCTCCCTCAACACATTCTCTGTCTAGCAGCCTCATGTTCCCTCAGTGGGTTTGAGGAAAGGGTTCCATCAGGACAGAATCCCCTAGTAGTGGCAATGGTTACCCTAACGAGGTGGACCAACCTGGGGTAGAGATGAATCCTACCTCTCCAGGTTATAGGAGGGGCAAACCACCCAGTAGAGACATTCTCCATCTCCTGCTGAGGAGTGGGTGCAGGATAATGCCTCTGGGTCCTGCTCTTTCCCGACACATTGCTCTCACCGCATCCCCATACCCAGGCCCTATTCCAAGAGCCTTCTAATATTCTTACCGTGACGAAGACAACATTGTTGGGGAAGACAGAGGTGTCCGCTCCATCCAAGGGCACTTGGGGTGCAGCAATGGGACCCCGGCTGGCCGGCAGCGAGGCTGGGAAGCAGCTTCTCTTTCGGATGGTGGCAGTCCCTTCCTCACCCTCTGCCCCAGCATCCCCCTCAGAAGTCTGGGGTGGGAGACGCAGCTCCTCGGACAGGTAGTGTCGGATATTTTGACGGGCTGCGTGTATCAGCCGGGAATCAATATCCAGTCCCACCATGCGTGATGGGCCCCACTTGCAGGCAATACTTAGGGTCAGATGGCCCACATTGCACCCCAGATCTAGAATGTCCCGGCCCTTAAACCATTCAGGCTTCAGCACCCGCAGGCGCCCATCCTCACAGGAAGGATTGCGGTACCCATAGTACTTGCAATAATTCCCATACTGGAACTTGCGTTGTTGCTTTTTGAAGCCTGCTGCAGGTAGTGGGTGATGGTGGTGGCGGCCTCCCCCACTCCCTCGGCCCTTTTCCTTGGAACCCTGACCTCCACCCCTAGCCCCTGCCTCCGACTTGCTGGAAGTCCTGCGACGTTTGCGATGTCGGGAGGAGGAAGACGAGGGTGCAGAGGTAACTGAGGCAGCTGAAGGGGCTGAAAGGGAGCCTGAGGAACCCTGCAGGGCAGATGGAAGGGGAGACACGACCTCATCCCTGCAGTTGATGGCTGTGTTGAGTTCATAGGGTAGGGGGGCATCGCGGTTCTGGCCCTTGTGCCGCTGCTGCTGTGTGGCGCCCTCCCCGTGGAATGAGGGGGTGAGGGGGGCTGTGGGCAGCGCGGCGTGGCTATCATTCCCTCCAGATGCCTGCTGCTGCTGGTGGTGCTGTCCCCGGTGTCTATGCCGCTTGCGACCAGTCTTGAGTGGCGAAGCAAGAACTACTTGGGCCTCATCAGTGCAAGTATTGAGACTGAGCGGGTCAGTGATATCTTTGGGGATGAGGATCTCCACTGGATCTCGCCCCTTGGCCGGAAGTGGGGAGGACTTGGGGGTCTCCGCATTGAGTGCACGACTCACTTCCTCATCCAGGAGGCTGTTCAGGTTCAGTGGATCAAAGATATTGCCCCCCAGAAGAAAGTTGGAGGGTAACACAGAGTCACAGTCCGAATTCACCCGCCGGCGCCTCTTGAAGGCCGGGTGTTTGAAGCTCCCCCCACCCCCCCCAACATTACAGCTATTTCTCCTCTTGCCCCCCCCTCCCCCGGGGGGCCGGTGGGGCTGGTAGCCATTGCGAGGTCGAGGAGGGGCCGGGGGCCCCAGTTCCGTCCCGCCCCCTGCCCGGCGCTCCTCCCCCACGTCCTGGGGAGCGGCTCGCCCCGGGGGCTCCGACAAGCGGGC